CCTATACAAATTTATTTTTTTATATTATCCTGAATTTTTTTTCGAAGAATTCTTATTAATTATTCAAATATGTTAGTACAAACATTTCTAAAAAATGTGGAAATTACAAAACTTGTCTTTTTGAAAATTTTGTACTCTATTTATTTATCCCGTGTTGATTACATTTCAATCTTGATACATTAAATAAATTGCACACTTTAAAATAATTTAGATACATACAACGACTCGTATATAGCTTGAAATATACAAAATTAGAAAATCATCAGTCATCGACATTGAAAAGTAGAGTACAATAGAAGTAAGTATGCAAGTTTATTCATCAATATCGTATAACTGTACACTCATCTTGGTTAACATTTCAGTTTATAATAATATGTGGTGAGATATGGCTAATACATGATTTATGTATATCGTGTAGTAAGCAAACTAGAAATGAAACACGAAGCAAAACATTATACCAAATCTAATTGTGCAGACATGATTACTACTCATAGTATGCAATAAATGGTTTACTATGATTCAGTTATAATATGTTACCTTAATAATCAACAGTTCATTAGTTGGTAAGAACATAAAGGTATATGTATCAACTACGAATTTAGAACTTACAACTATAAATGTGTAAATAATGATTATGCATTTTATAATGAAAAAGTAAATTACAGAGTACCATTGGTATGTTAATGCCTTCATTACGGACTAAAGTTATAAATTGTATTTAGAGAACCATATACTATTAAACAATTAATAGTACATTTAACTACTAAAAAAATTACAAGTATATAATGGACATTAGGTGCCACACTATTATATCTAAAAGTTTATAAGTACTAGTATACATATCATTTTAATTATGAGGGCTATTCTATAAATTTTAGGGCGTTAGAATACATTTATTAAAATGTAAAAACAACAATATGTATGTGCAAACTAATCTCATTTAACATTAAATTGTCATTTAAATCCTCAAGAATGTATTACTTTCAATCCGAATCATAACTAATTCATTAGAAGCGTTGCAATCTAATATTTATTTTTATAAGTATCTACTCATATGTTATTAGCACAAATTTAAATACAACAAAATTGACTCAATTAGTGTATCTAGTCAAATAAATATGTAAGTATTGCAATCAAACCTCAATTATTATTTACTTCTAATAAAAAGTTAAAGAGCTGAAAAAAAATAAATTCTGACGGAACATTTCGAAGTGTCCCGTTAGATATAGATATTGGGACGCTTATATTTAATGTGGCACGTAAAAACGTCTCATTAAATTTTTTATATGGACACTTCTAAACGTCTCATATCGTTACTATTGGGACATTTTAAAGTGTCATATTCCTCTGCGGGACACATTTTATGAAGACGTATGAAATCATCCTATTAAAATATTATATTAGGACGCTTTTTTAGAAGCGTCCCAATATATACATATTAGGACACTTGTGATGAAGGCGTCCCAACAAAAGCGTCCCAATAACTACATTTTGTTGTAGTGTTCTAACTTTATATATACGGTACTAGGGTTCTTTCTGCGACTGTAAATTTTGAACCTCCTTTGTTAAGAAAAAACAAAAATCAATAGATTCATATTTTACTAGAAATTATTAGTTTTTGTTTAGGTAATTATTAATTTATGAAAATGTGGGAACCTATATTTACATTAGGGATTCTTCAAATCTTATAAATTAATCGAATTTTTTATTTTTTATACTGGTCCCGAGTTGGGACTGATAAAAATTATTATTTAATAAAGGTTATAAATTTATAAAGTATTAATTTAGAGAGGTTTTACTGTATATGGTGGGATATATTATCAAACAAACTCGATTCAAATTTAGTTACCCTGAGCTTATCGATGGTGTTTTACCTTCGAACGTGATTTACATGTTATGGCGATCAAAATGAGGTTTTATATATCTGAGTTATAGTCCCTAAATAAATGTACATATTATTGTGTAACAAAACCTTTGACCACACCCGATCTTGTCACTCCATGTTTACCTAGGGTAGTTTACCTCCCACTGTGTTTTGCAGGCTATTGTAATGGACGTGGATTTACCCATCTTTGATGGGGTTCCGAATGTCACCCAGAAAAAAAAAAAAAAAAACCCTTTGACCGCAGAAATAACTCAACCAGAATATATTAAAATTATTAGATGACAGTAAAATCCTAATTAAAATCCTTTTACGAAGAGCGAGTTTGGCCTTATTACACTAAACTACAACCTTATTCGTGATACATAAAATATCCAATTATTTCAATCATGTTATTGGGTGATAGAGGAAAGGGATAAAAACATGCCCTATAATTTCGAGATTTTGCAGACATAAAAATATATATTGGTAAAATTTATAACGGGTAAATATTCATATAATGTTTAAAACTACAATAGAAAAAAAAGGAGCAAGAGATTTGTCTATTATTTCTTCGGAAAGAATACCTAACAATAATAGTCCCATCCACCCACATATAATGGAATTTGAGTTTGACAAGTTTTTCAAGTTTTTGTTTATCTTAACTTTTTTTGTACCTACTCGCAAAAGGCGAGTTTGTTTCAGTAGTTGGAACTCTTATACCATCACTTATAACCTGGCCATATTGAATCAGTCCACTACTTTTATCATTTGACTTAAGTGTTTATTAATAGCTTATTCAATTTCATGCACAAATTTAAGTTGAAATACTCCATATCAGGTTTTTTTTTGCACAAAATATTTTTTTTTAAATGTAAACTTTTTATAAATAAAAAAGAGCACACTCAAAAAGTCTTTGCTTTACAATGCATCCCTATCAACTACTTCACTATTGCCTATAATTCATATATACATTCAAAACTAACAGGCTATTCATCAAACTTTTAAACTACCAAAATTGTTGCAATATTACAAATTCAACATTGGACCAAGCTACTTTTCTACTTCCTTGAACTCTGATTCTGACTTCATTCTTGATCAACATCACCACATCTTGCACTGGTATTGACTTCTCTGCAAACAATCTCTTATTGCGCTCCTCCCAAATATATATGGTAAATACATGCTACTAAAACAGCCAAAAAGATTATCCTTTTAAGTTTAGCCCACTTTCAAATATGCACAACCTACTTTTGCCATCTACCAAAACAGCAGGATATTCTTCTATTACCCATCCAATCCTGTACCTCTGATAGTACTTGAGATGCATACCCACACTCAAAAAACAAGTGCTTCACAAATTCATTATCAATTTGACACGGTATACATCCCATATCATTCACCTGGATATTCATATTCCTCAACCAGTCTTTTGTGAGAATCCTTTGTTTCCAAACTAACCAACTTATCACTGCATGCTTAGGGATATTCTGATAAGACCATACACAATGAGCACCTGGCATCTTGGTCTTTCTACCCATCAACCAATCATACCTTGATGAAACAGTATACTTGCAATTAGCAGTAAACTTCGATTCGTTCCCCTCAAAGCGTTCCTTTGTTTGATCTCTGGTCTTCAGGACCTGTTTCTAGTGCCAACTGCTATCCACTTTTGGTTGCACATCCCACATAGTTGAGGATTTGATATAAACAGCATGCATCCACTTGATCCACATACTGTCAGTTTTTAGAGCCATATTCCATACTTTGCTTCAATATTGCTGCCCTATTCCATATTTTGGCATCCCTAATACCCAAACCTTCCTCTGATTTTCGCCTGCCAACTTCCTCCCAATTTACCAAGGCTATAGAACGTTCATTGATTTTGATTCCCCACAGGAAGCTTATGCACACTCTATTAACCTCATTGGTGGTACTTTGAGGGAGAATAAAGATGGATCCCCGGTACACATGCATTGCAATTAAAACTGAATTAATCAGTTGAATTCGACCAGTATAGGACAAGTTACATGTACTCCAACATTTTATACGGGCAACCATTCTATTCACTATTTCTTGACAATCCAACTGAGACCACTTCTTTGGTGCCAGTGAGACCCCTGAATACTTCATAGGGAACTTACCTGCTTTAAACTGAGTAATCCCACATATGATATCCTGCATTTCCTTACTAACACCCCCGAAAAAACCTCCGATTTTTGAGCATTAGCTTTAAGTCCCGTAACTTGGGAGAATTCCTTAAAAACTTCCCGGATCCCTATTATGGTGTTCATCTCAGCCTTGCAGAAGACCATAAGGTCATCTGCAAAGCACAGACTTGTGAGCTTCAACGATTTACATTTTGGGTGGAACTTAAACCAGGGCTGCTGGGCAATCATCTTTAGGCTTCTAGTCATGTACTCCATCACCAACACAAAGAGGAGAGGAGAGATAGGATCTCCATGTCTCAAACCTCTCTTACCATGAAAAAAACTCGTACAATTTCCATTTAAGGACAATGTATATGTTCTGGATGTTGTACAGGACATGATCCACTGTTTAAAGCTCTCAGAGAATCCATACCCGCCGAACATCTCATGTACAAACCCCCATTCTACCATATCATAAGCTTTTTGGATATCTCTCTTCATCATAACCCTACCTGAAATCCCTTTACTCCTATAAAGCCTAATCAACTCCTGAGTAATCAAAATGTTGTGCAGAATAAGTCAATTCTACACAAAGGCACTTGATTCTCATCATCTAACACAGGCAAAACAGGCTTTAATCTATTACACAGTATTTTAGAAATACACTTATAAATAATATTGCAACAAGAAATAGGTCTAAACTGTGAAGCATTTAATGGCACAGTCACTTTTGGAATTAAAGTCAAAACAGTAGAATTGATCTGAGGTAGTACCTGACCAGTATTGAAAAATTCCAAGACTACGTTGATGACATCCTTCTCCACTATGGTCCAGGCTGATTTGAAGATACCCGCCCCAAATCCATCTCGTCCCGAGCTTTTATTTGCATTTATCTCCCATATAGTAGCCTTGACTTATCTATGTTCCACTGGTTTGATCAATTGAACTTGTTGTTCTACAGTCAGTTTAGCTCCCTGCTCAAACACTCTTTAATCTGCAACTTTCCTTTTGGTGGATTGGCCTAATTGTGCCTTATAAAAAGATATGAAATGCTTCTCTAATTGGTCCCAGTTATTTATCAGCTCTCCTTCTCCATCAACTATAGACCAAATACGATTCCTCATGTTCCTAGCTTTCAGTTTGGAATGGAAAAATGCAGTATTCTCATCCCCTGCTACCAACCATTCTTCTTTGGCCTTCTGCTTAAGGAAACTTAATGCTGCTTTGCTAGAATAAATGGCCTTTTCATAAGCTCTTCTCTCTTGCATTTGCAGATTCTCATTCCCTGGTTGCGATGCCAGAACCTCCTGAAGCTTTTGCAGTTGCTGCTGATCACTTTCCGCTTTCTGGATAATGTCCGAAAACTGTTCCCTGTTCAGTTTTTTCAACTGGGGCTTTAATCTCTTCGACTTAGTACACACTTGGAACATGTAAGACCCCCTAACAGGTTGCTCCCAGCTTTTTTGAACGATCTCCAAAAATTAAGGAGATTGGCTCCACATGTTGAAAAACCTAAATGGTTTAGGTTCCGATACTACTTCACCATAGAGTTTCACTAGAATGGGAGAATGATCCGAAAAACTCTCCGGCATGGTGGTTGCCAAAGAATATGGGAACATATCAACCCACTCGTCGTTTACCATGGCCCGATCCAATTTAGAATATATTCTCTCACTACCAACTTGGTCATTGCATTATGTAAACAATTTTCCTTGTTGTTATAAATCAAGCACTCTACATTCATTAGTACAAGCTTGGAATGCTTCAATCTCAGTACTTGTGACTGGTCTTCCTCCGATTTCTCTTCTGCTTTTAACACACTATTGATGTCCCCCATTAGAATCTAGGAAACTACAATATTTTGTGCAATCTCCTTTAAATCCTCCCACAGGGTCCCCCTTTCATCTAGTAAATTACTCGCATAAATCCCTGTAAACATAAATTGTTTGCCATCTTGCTTAAGCCTAACCAAACAATGAAGATATTGATTGGACTTAGCTAACTGCTGAACTTCTACACTGTTATCCCAAAACAACAATATCCGGGCTTTGGTACTATCAGCCAGATTCGACAACCATCCCCACCCATTCCAATTCCTTTTCATTAACTCATCACACCTCTCACCTGATAACTTCGTTTCTTCTATACAAGCCATATTAGTTTTTTTAGTTTGTATTATTCAGTGTAACTCCTTTTGCTTAAGGATGAAGTTTAGACCCCTGATATTCCATGATAGTATGCTACACATGGATACTAGGGTCATGTTGTACCACTCCCCTCCCCTCTACTTGCTTCCACGTTTTCTGATTTCCACCAACAGTATTCAAAGCAGCATTATCTTGACAGCTCACCGAAACCAAACTCCCATCTACAGTTCCCTGAGTAGTAACCCTTTTATCAGACAGCTGATCCACTTGCCGTAGTTCAACAGAGTGTTCCTTCTCAGCTACATTACTCTTCTTCTGAGCAACCTCACTGTTCTTGTCATTGCCTCGATCTATATTGATGGCTTTCACATCCATTATCCCCTTATTTTCCGCTGCGATTCCTTGTTTACTGACATTACCTCAATCCCAGCTTCCAGATTTCCTCCACTCAGTTGCTGGTTTTCTAGTTACTGGCTCTTTTCTCACAGGTGGAGGGACATTCTTTCTACACTGCTCTGACTTATGACCATAACCACCACAACAGCTACATTTAGCTGGTAACCATTCATAAGTGATTTTCTGTACCCAAATGATCCCCTTTTCATCTTCAAAAACTATTTTACCAGGCACACTGTCCACTATTTCCATTTCAAATAGAAAACGCGCATACTGCACTCACTACAAGAAAATGGCCGAACACCCACGGATTTTTCTATCGTGGGTATTCCGTGAGTATTTACCCAGGGAATACCCACGGATTACCCATAAAATTCGAAAAAAAAATTTATTTTTGTTCAACCATGTTATAACCACAAACATACCCACGGAATCACCCACGGCTACTTTTGACCGTGGGTATTCTGTGGGTAAGTTTTTCCCGCCAACTCCCGCCAATTTTTTAACCATAGATTACCCATGGATTATTCTGTGAAAAATATTTTCGTGGGTAGTTTACAGATAAATATTAACTTACCCACGAATTACCCACGAATTATTCTGTGGAAAATATTTCCGTGGGTAATTTGTGGGTAGATCTTGATTTAGGTACGAATTACCCATGGCATTAGGTTTTCCGTGGGTGATTTAATTTTTTTTCCTTTTTTATTTATTTTTATTTTATGGTATTTACATACTCTATATTATGTAACATAACAAAGTTTTACTAATGTGATGAATTTTTTGTCATTAGTTTAAATCGAATTTTTATTAAAAAAATGTATTAATTAATTGTTATAATAATATTTTTGTGATTGTAACATAACAAAGTTTTACTAATTAATGTGATGAATTATTTTGTCATTACTTTAAATCGGATTTTTATCCAAATTTATATTAATTAATTGTCATAATAATATTTTGGGGGTAAGTATTTAAAATATTTTTGTACAATAAATCGGAAATAAGATTATTTTTTTTTAAAGAAAAGGGAAAAAAGCTTCCAAAAATTTGGAAAAAAAAAAGGCCCAAAAACTTGGAAAACATAAATGCCAAGAAGGTTCAAAATCAAGAGCTCTAAGACAGGGAAAGAAACAAATACTTTACGACCAGACCACTTGCTCCTTTGGTTAATGAGTGAGTGACGGGTTTGTCGAGACCCGTAAAAATTAATCTGATTTCCTTAACAGACTAAAAAATTAATTTGTAGAAATAGTGGAATCAGGTCGAATCCCAAGAGAGCCGACTTTTAACACTTGGCTTTATAAAAATGCAAACTGGGGAGATTTTTCTTTCTTCAAAATAAAATGACAAATTAAACTAAATAGAATTGCAGAGACTAATAATAATCAAAAAGTTTGGTTCAAGGAATGAATTCAATTATATTATAGATCATGGACTAAAAATATATTTTTCTACAACTCAAGCATTCAACCGTAGGCTTAATAGGATTGCCGTAAAAAGCCTTATATTTTCTAAAAATATTTGACCAAGCCCAGCACCTAATCAAAACTTAGTATAATTTAACTGGGCATGATAGCATTCCATGTTAAATTATACTAGCAATAAAAACTTTGAAAATTTAGTTAAACCAAAAACTAAAATAATTGAGATAGCTGCAATTAAAATGTTTTTGTCCTATTGATCTCCTAGTTAGACTTATTATGCACATTCAACGTGTCACTACCAATATGCATAATCTGCTAATGTGCTACTTAGTGCTAAATGTTTAAGACGATAGCGCAACATAAACAATTTGGTAGCAGTAGGAATAAAATACTTGATTAAATTGTCAGATTAATCAAGTATCTACTCTCATAAAAAGAAATTAAAATCAACAAGTACTTGAATTAAAAGTAGAAAAAATAAAGTGAAACTTGTAGTCTCACATATAATATAAAAGAATAAAAATCCTTGAACCAAATGAAGAAAACTAGCCACTCATAGTGACTAGAAACATCTTTAAAGGTGTAAAAAAAAAAAAATTAAAACAAAAGGCTAAATGAAAAAGGTGGCAAAAATGGAAAAAGTAGTAGCAGCCAAAAAATGCAAGCTACGGGGAGGCACTTTTGATCAATTAACAAGCCTCTATTTATAGTGCCTTTTTGCCAACTGAAAATCTCAAAGATATAGGAGTCAAAATCCTATCTAAACTGCATATATGTTGATTCCCAAATCTGCAGGTTGTTGCTCCATGATTCTTTTACCCATCTAAATAGAGATTTAGTGGTTAAAGTCTTCAATTTGGTAAAAGTCTTCAATATTTATCCAAATCTTTTGTAGTGAAATCAAGCCATCAAGATTTTGTAAATAATAGTTTTGACTTGATGAAATCTTCTCAGCTTCTTTTTAACTCCAACTCCGTAAAATAGCTCGTAAGAGTACATAATAGTCATCTTTTACTATTTTACTTCCTAACACAAAACAATAATAAAATCAATTAATAAACTCCAAAATATAATTAAATTAAGCCTATAAGATTATAATAAAATAAATTTTATTATAACTGTCAAGTTCCCCCACACCAAAACCATGCTTGCCCTCAAGCATCCTGAAATCTTTTGAAAACTTTAAGAAAAATCAGAATTTTGAAAATTTCAGCAACAAGCAAAGTATCACTCATCATTTAGAAAACATGTGCACTGCACCCATCAACTTCAGATAGTATTGTCAGAATGTACCAAACTTTAATACTTCACAAAGATTCACTTAATACACTCAAAAGAAAAGGATATTTATAAGTAAGCACTCAATCATAAACATAGTATGCATTCCATAGGTTTATCATGTATCAAATCCTCTTAGCACTAAATGAACAATCATGCAACATCAAAAGGGTCTTTCATAGGGTTGTAATGGGTCAAGGGAATTTCAAAGGGTAGAATAAATATGGATAAGAAGGCTAAATTACCGACAATATGTAGACCACATACTTAATTCTCACCATCATTCCAGATGACCCATACGATGGCAACAATGATATACTATTACAAACCAAATCCCAATCTACTAAATGAACTATTACATAAAACATAAGTCACCAAGACTTTTGATGACCAAGTTATGATGTTCTAAAAAAGATATTCAAATATTGTAAACACCAAACCCCCTTTATTATTTATTTTCTTTCTTTTTCTTCTGTTTTTTTTATTATTAAAACAAAAACGAAATTGAAGCATAAATCAAATAACTGAATGGACAGAAAACAGAACATAAGTGCCTTTTTTTCTTTTCTCTCTTTTTTTCGCATATTGCATTTTTTTTTCATTTTGTTTTTTCATTTTATTTTTTTCATAACATTTTTTTTTGGCACCGTCCTGACTTTTTGTATATACAGAGCTAAAACATTATTGGACTTAAAACAAGACACATATCCTACAACCTACCATACCACTATTGCCACTGCACAACCACTTTCCGCAAACCAAAATCAAGTAGTGATCATACATACTCCGAATAACAGGTGAAAAGATAGCTAAAAATTAGACTCTGAATTATATTGGTGGAGCTCGAAAATAGGCCCAGGCTTGAAATGGTTACTAGGGGTAAACAATTAAGGTATGATTTTGCGATAGCTAAACTTGGCAAATCCTAAATGCCCTTATCATTTATTGCACAAATTCATCAATGCAGCTATGAAATGTATGACATGAGCAAAACAGTGTAGTAACATACTATGAATGATAACACTCGAAAATTGAGCAAGTGTGCTCTTTGGCCATGAAAACTCACGGAAAGGGTTAAATTTGCATCAAATATGGCACATTCTTAACCATTAAAATCAATGGGATACACAAAAATATTTTGGCTCTAAATCATTTGAAATAAATTGACAAATTAACACATATAGAGAGCCAAAGTTTTTTAAAAAAATTGGGGATTTTGACACAGAAAGTATTGCAGGGGTTTATGAAAAATATTTAGTAAGAAGGAAATCCTCCCCCACACCTAATTTTTACATTGTCCTCAATGTAAGACAACATATTTGCACAAACAAGAAGTAAACCAGGAGTTTCGAATAAACCAGGAGTTTCGAACAACATCTTTCAGTGCAAACTAGAAAAAATGCAGAGTAAGAAAAAGATAGAAAATATAATAGCACTTAGACATGCAAAATTTTCTAGTCAAATGTCATTCAACTTTTTGTAACAAGGAGCAACTCAGCTATTATGGAAAACAACCAGCAAAACAATCAGTGAATTAATGAGTTTAGAAAGCTCTCTTTTTTTCTTTTGAGATGTGAAGACTTGGAGTTGATACCACAAGCAGCTACATGGTTCATGATGTGAAAGCAATCGCCAATGATGGGGATAATGAAGAGTAGTTGCGATTTCATCATGAGCAAATGAGCTCCTGAAAATAAAAGAAAAAGGATAAATAAACAAAAAGAAAATGCTAAAGTTATTATTTTTTTCCAGATTTTTTTACTTTTTAATTTTTTAATTTTATTATTATTATTATTATTTTTAATGAAAACAAACTGAAAACAAATGAAACCAAGTAAAATTTGAACCAAATCAAAATGAAAGAAACTTTAAACTTGGGTTGCTTCCCAAAAGCGCAATTGTTTTATGTCGTTATGCTCGACATCCAGCTCAACCTGATTAACTTATGCCAATCAAATTAACATCATTAGCACAAACAGAATGTGAATTATTAAAAACTTTTAATGCTTTAGAAACATTAAATTCAACTATATCACCATCACATTCAACAGAAATAATGCCTTTATCTACATCAACTTTAGTTTTTGTAGTTTTCATAAATGGCCTTCCTCACAAAATTGGAGTTCAATTAGCATGACCATTTTCTATTTTCACAATATAAAAATCTACAGGAAAAACTAGTTCATCAACTTGTACTAAAACATCTTCTAAAATTCCTTCTGGATAAACATGCGAACCATCTGCAAGTTGAATAATCACATTTGTTTCTTTTAG